ATTCAGCCTTCATGTAGTACCGTCAAAGATCACTGCTACCTCCAAACTCGGGACTTCCCAAACGGGCTTCGATCTCCAGTCCTGTGACCCATGCCAAGCAAAGCCCACAGATTACAGCCTTCCGGAATCACCTCAACGGTGCCACCAAGCACCGTCTCGACAGATCCTCCATGGGCCAACCTTAGTAAAGATTGTTGCAGACTTTTCCCATGTATCAAAAGCATCGTTCCTGGGATTCGAACATGGGATCTTCCCATAATGTTTGGCAAAGGTAACAACTAGACCACTTCACTAAGTCGCTACATCTCTTTAAAGAGATTCTTTTTAATAATGAAATATATATATATATATATAATATGTGTATTCAATTGTTTTGATTAGTGTTAATTGATTGGTTATACAAGATTTGAAAAGTTTAAAAAAGCTGATAATATGGAGATTATATAGATTTCAGTATTATCCAATTTCAGTATTATTTCAGACAATAAACTTTGCTTGATATAACCAGAATGAATATCAGGTTTGCAAAAAAAACAAAGCTATTTCTCCTACATACTATATTAATTACTACTAGAAAAATATAAACTAGTCAAAGTTCAAAAAAAAATATAATATCAGAAAAAAATTTTTAATACTGTTTTGTGCAGATTTGCAAAAAAATTAAATAAAATCTGTGCAAAACTTCAGACTCACCAGCTATAGCTACAGAAATTAAATATAGTTCTACACAAATTTTTAATGTGTATTGTCAGAACTATAGTAAAAATTTTTAAAAACATGTATTTAAAGAGGTTATACATTTAGGAAGGTAAAAATTTATAAGTGTTATATTAAGTTAGGCTAAAAAAAAGACATGTATTTAGAGAGATTTTACATAAATATGCATTTAGAGAGATTGCGCTTAGGAAGATTTGATTATATAAAAAATTATGCAGTTTTTTGCAAAAAATTTTAATTTTTGCAGATTTGCATTTATTTAATTCTTCCAATGAAATTGATATTAGTTTTTGATTATTTTGATTATTTTTACATTACACCTGATCTAGCCAATCAAAAGCTATAGTTTGCAGACACATGAACATCAGGTAGTCAATGTCTTTATAGTAAACAAATATACTTACATATTAATTAATTACTCCATACTTAACTATAGTTAAACTTTTCTAAATACAATATATACAAACCAGCCTAAAACATGTATTTAGGAAGGTTTATATTTAGAGAGAACCAATCAAATTGCAGCTTTTAATATTTGATGTACAGGCTTTTTAACACAACTTGAATACTAAATTCTGATTGGCTATGAGCATTTATAGAGGTTAGTGTAATATAAAAAATCTTGAGTGAATGGCAGAATATAAAATATATATTTAGCATTAATAATTTCTTATAGCCAAGACAAAAACATGTATTTATGAAGGTATTGCATTTATAAAGATTGTATTTATAGAGGTATAACTGTCTCATTACTTTATGTAAGAATTACTTTATACTTACTTAATATCACTAGATTAATTATTAAACTAAATATATTTGGAGATATTACATGTTGGTTTCATGATGATTTGAGACAAAAGCTGTTTTGATACTTATGTATCAAGTAGCTTTTTGTTTTGTCTTATATTTTTGGTAATTTACTATAGAAATACATTTGAGTGTTTCCTTTTGCTAATTGAGCATCAACATATCAATTTTTTTAAATATAGTAGGAATCACAAATATCCTATCCTTTCTAACTTTTAAATAGAAAAGCTACAACTTAAAAATTTTTATAGTAAATAATATTAAATAAATATAGATCAGTAACAAATTTTTGCAGTTTTTTAATTACTATAACAAAAGTTAGATGAGAGCTAAAATTTTAATAGATTTTTTTACAAAAATTAAAAATTAATTGAATTTAATTAAAAATTAATAAAAATATAAAATTAAATCCAAAAATTATAAACAAATTATTATATTAAACTTCAAACATTTTTATAATACTAAAAAAATTTTGAGTTAATCTAATGAGATAGTTGTTGAAAAATTAATTTTTAAAGTTACTTCAAAATTTTTAGTAAAAATGTTAAAATTACTGTTTTTATTAAGTAAATCCAAAGTTATACAACACCCTGATTTCCAAAAATGGTAATATTAATTTAAAAATTAATTTCTCTAACTATCTTATTAAATTAATTCAAATTTTTTGTCAATATTATAAAAATGCTTGAAGATTAATCTTGTCAATTTTTAAAACTTTTGGATTTAATTTTAATGTTTATAAATTTTTAATTAAATTCGATTAGTTTTTAGTATTTAAATTGGCCAAAAATTTAACTCTCATCTAACTTTTGTTATAGTGATTAAAAAACTATAAAAATTTGCTACTGATCTATATTTAATACTATTTATTGTAAAAATTTTAAAGTTGTAGCTTTTCTATTTAAAAAGTTAAAAGGGGGTGGGATACTTATAATTTCTACTGTAGTATCTATAGATTATAATTGAGTTTTAAATCAAAATTCTTTCATATAATGAAATTCATAAGATAATAATTTTGTTACAGTATGTGCAGAAAGAGAAAAATATCTGATATGAAAAATTAGGTAATGTAACTAGGCGCTTGAGTTGTTTAAAAAGAGTTAGAAATGTATTATATTATACTGGCATGTTATGAATCAGTTCTAGTATAGTTCTTGTGCAATTCATCAAATATTTTATCAATTTCATATTATAATCAAAGAAGAAAGATAGAATTTTATAAAAATTGGTTTTTATTTTATCATTTATCCACCCGGGTGACCCGCGGGTTTACCCGCCGGGTTACCTGGGTCATGATTATTCAGACTGGTCCAACCACTAAGAAATGCAATTAAAATAGCAACTATTATTATAAATAGCCAAGTTTTATTTGCGATACCTAAAAAAAATCAAATAATAAATATTATTAAATTTGTAAAGAAAATTGAAGGATGTGTCAGCGAATTTTTTTACCTGAGTCAAATTTTTCTGGAAGCTGCATAATATTAACCGAATGATCAGCAGAACCACATATAATTAACGTAGAGTCACTATTAAAGCCTAATGTAGTTACTGGAAGTTCATGTAAATGAGGCACAGTAAGAAGTATCTAAAATAAAATAAATTAAATATAAGCTGTCTGTAATAAAATTACAAACATGATTCAAACATGACTCAAATTATCAACTAACCCTAAATGTTCGTGTATCACAAATTGATACACTTTGGTCGGAGCTTCCAAACGCTAATAAATTTCCATCATTACTGTCAACATATAAAATATGATTATCTTTGAAATTCACTTAACAGACTTCAATCAATACTATAAGAATTGTAGAAATTCACCTTACTGCAAATGCAGTGATCGGTTTTCTGGAAACAGCTTTTAATAAAACTTTATTCCAAATTTTAACGTCCCATTTAACGATGAATGCTCTGAATTTAGAAGTCGAATTGACCACAGTAAAAAGATATCCCTCAGATGATCCTTTCCCAAATCTATACAATTTAAAAATCGATAATTATAAAATCATAATATAATAAAAGGCAAATTCTATTTTGACCCGGGTCAAAATGACCCATCACACGACCATGTACTTAATTAAGAATTTTTAAAACTTTAAGCGAAAATATCTCGATGACTATTTAATAAAATTCGATAAAACTTTTTTTATTTAAATCTTACTGATTCATAGAATTCGACTAAAAAAAATTTCATCGAATTTAGTCAGGTTGTTATCTAGATATCTTCGCTCAAAGTCAAAACGCCTACCTAAATACCTATCAAAATAGAAGCTGCGCCAAATTTTTTCTATAATTTGAACAAAAATATCTTAATACCCATCAAAACAAATTCGATGAAACTTTTTTTATTTGAATTTTCTGAATTCATAGAATTCGAATAAAAAATTTTCATCGAATTTAGTCAAGTAGTTGTCGAGATATCTTTGTTCAAATTAGAGAGAAATTTCGCATAGCTTCTATTTTGATAGGCGTTTTGATTTTTCTCTAACTTTGAGCGATGATATCTCGACAACCACCTGACTAAATTCGGTGAAATTTTTTTTATTCAAATTCTATGAACCCATAAGATTCAAATACAAAAGTTTTAACGAATTGGTTTGATGGTTATCAAGATATCTTCGTTCAAAGGTTTAAACGAATTTGTTATTTTGATAGGCGGTTTGATTTTTTTTGAGCAAACATATCTCGACAACCGTCTGACTAAATTTGATGAGAATTTTTTTATTCGAATTCTATGAATCCATAATTTCAAACAAAAAAAGTTTTATCGAATTTGGTTTGATGGTTGTTGAGATATCTTCGAAAAAGTTAAAGAAAAATTTGGTGTAACTTCTATTTTATAGGCGGTTTGATTTTTCTTTAACTTTGAACGAAGGTATCTCGATAATTATCTTATTAAATTTGGTGAAAATTTTTTCATACGAATTCTATGAATTCATAGAATTAATATAAAAAGATTTATTGAATTTGGTTTGATGGTTGTTGAGATATCTTCGCTCAAAGTTTTGAAAATCCTTGGGCATATAATCACATGATGGGTCACTTTGACCCGAGTCAAAATAGAATTGGATATAATAAAATATTATAAAATTTTAAATGCTAAACGAACCTGCAAGCTCTAAATTTGCACTGTGCCGTTTTTTGAAATGTGGGTCGCTCTATAGACTGAATACGTTCACCATCTTTTGTGGATAAGATTCGAAGAAGTTTCTCAGATACAACTGCAATCTATATATAATGACACGTTACATTTCGTTACGTTTAAGAATTTAGACAATTTACAAATGAAGTATATATACCTGATCGCCAGTTGAATTAAAATCAACATCATATATTTCTTGTTTATCAAAGTTCACTGGTGGAAAAGCTACGTCTAATGATGGATATTTAAGAACCGTCAACTGCTCCCAAATGATACAAGTTAGATAATTATATTATTATTTTATTGATTATATTGATTTTTTTCTTACCTTACTATCTGTGCCACCGGTTGCCAATAGTTTACCATTATGACTGAATGCAGTAGCTTTCTGTGTTTTATATAGATCATTATTTAGATGCACACTAATCATTAAAAAGTAACAAGCTAATATCTTTACCTGATAATAATCTTCATTAATATCTGCTCTAATTGTTTGTGTTGTATTAATCAATTCAATTCTATATACAAATTTTTTTTTTTTTTAATTTTAGAAAAAATAAAAGAATTTCTTTGAAAAATAGAATTTAAATTATCAACCTTTCATCTGAATATCTAAAAATTCGACAATTTTGATTTTCACCGGTCTTCATTTTTTCTAATGAGCTATTGATACCACAAGAAATAATATTTTCCTATCATGAAAAAAATATCACGAAAAAAATATCACGAAATTTGAGATCAATTCCACAAAAAAAATTGATATATTGAACGCTCAAAATTTTAATGTGATCAAGATATCTCGCGTAAAAATCTTAAACAAGATATTATAAAATGTACCTCACTGTGAAAAGTAATGCATTGTGGTGAATCACCGCCTTCTTCTAATTCTAATTCGGATAATTTTTCTAAAATTTTCTCATCTTTTTCAAGAGCTTCAGATGATTTTTCCAAGATTTTTTCATTTACTTTGTACAACGCCTGGGTTTATAAAAACTTTAATAAAAATTCTCAAAAAAAGTTAACCACGTAAAATATTAATTATACAATTACCAGTTTGTTCTTTATGCCAGTTCTTTCAACGCCTCCACCGCCACCTATAATTACTTTTCCCGCATGGTCAAAACCTATATTTTTCGAAATCAGTATAATACTTTGGCAATATAATATCACAAAGTAATATAATTAAAGTACCAGCACAATAAACAGGAAATTCAACTTTATCCGAAAAGCATTTAAATTTTCTCATCGTTACTAAGTTAAAGTAGTATTCAAAGTGACGCGCTTCAATTTACAAGGCTCCACTCTGATTATTTCGCATCTTTATTTATTTATCGTGGCAGCATAATATTAGTTACACACATATTTGTATTAAGATTAGTGGTTACGTAGAACAGGTGATGCTGATTTTTACAAAAAAAAAAAGTTACGATCCAAAAACTAATAAAGTTTCAAGCCTTAAAAAACTAACACGTACTGATTTAAAAAAAAAAAGAAACAAAAATTGTAGTTTGTACGAAGCTAATACACTGTAGTATATAATAAAATATATATACTGTATTGTATATATATAGTGTATAATATAGATTTGGATTTTATAGCTTAGCAATTAAGCTTTTAATATTTTATATACTAAATAACTTATAATTTTAACTGTAAATATAAAAATTTATTTATTAATTTTAGAACCTAAAACAAAATTAGTATTGAAAAACTACAGTCTACTCTGGATACAGTATAATTAGTAAATTACCTTCGTAACTAGTGACATTTGAATTTTTAAGTTCCATCACTAAAAATAAACAAATATTATTAAAATTACACATAATTACATTTATACTGTATATTAATAACACACTTATTTACCAAGATTCAGACTTTCTTGACCAAGGCCAATAAACCATCCACTTGTAACCACCTGACGAAAATCCACTTGGATTCAAACAATGGCATTTTTTGGTAGTGAGATTGCTGTTAATAGACCCTGAAATAGGGATATCAACTGAATATTCTTGGTATATATCAGCCAATACCAACTGGGATTTCGAATATAATTGTGATTTAAATCGTTAATATTTGTAACCAAGGCTAAAAAAAAAAAAATTAACTAATAAAAAATGGAGACTACCTACAACATCAGGGACTGGATACAATCTTAGAGTATAATCATAATCTCTATAGATAGGCTTCATAAACAACGGAAACGGACATAAGTGTGATTGTTGTAGTAAAGCTTTGGTAACCTACAATTTATTTATTGAAGCATTAAAAATTTTTAAAATTTAAAAGAATCAACCGAATAAAGAATTAAACTAGCCTACCTGTATTTCTGGGCTCTCCTGTGCACCCAACAGATTTGGGATTCGAATAATATTCCGTTTAACCTTATAAACGATATCTTCACGGAAAATTACAATTTCTTGACTGCAATATTTTATTCTTGATAAAAGTATGAAATAAATTTAAATAACTTTTAACGCAATATTTCTCTATTGTTCTCAACAATTACCTGCAAGGATTGCTAGCGAATACAGCCTTAGGTATTTTACTTTTTAATCGAGAAGTGTATATATTTGGTATGTGTCTCTGTGGAGATCTTCCACTCAAGCAAAAATCAGAACACCCGGGTACGAATACAAAATGTGAATATCTTGCTATGCTAGGAAACTCTGCAACAAGGTTCCCTAGACTATCAAAAGCCGCTTGAAAGCAAAATGATTATTTATGTATTAGAATAATGATCAAGTCATTAATATTTGAAATAGACTACAAAAAATTAATTAAACCTCGATATTCAGCGGAGTGAACTTCAATGTTTACAAACGGTTCAGATAAAAAATTTCCGATTAATACGAAAACAAATGGAATCGAATTTTTATCTTGATAATGTTTAAACATCGCTCGTAATTTGACAAGCGTCTAAATATATAAATTAATAACCAAAATTTAAAATTTTGTGAAATAGAAAATCTAGAAAAAAAAAACAACAAACCTTTGATTGATCTAACCACAAATCGGACATTATTACAAAAAAAGTATTTTGCCATTCATTTTCATATTGCTTAATAGTTTCCTGAATTTTATAAAAGTTAAAATTATAGTAATTTTAGTAAAGTGATTAAATTTTCATAACAAATTAAACAACATTTGTACAAAATAGAAAACCTCATTTTCCAATGAATTTGGTATTCCCAAAAAATCCAAGTGACCAAATTCTCTTCTATTATATAAAATAGAATAGATATCAATAAACCTCCTATATAGGTATCCCAATTCTAATATACCTTGTATCATCTGGATCTTCCAACGGTGGATGTTCTATACTTTTAACTTTGAATTTTTGAACCTCGGTATATCGCCCTTTAGCAAGGACAAAATTACCTTCAGTATAAAACCCATGCATTTCCTTTTGGTATAATATTATATTTAACAAATAAATCGGAATGTTTATGCAAGAATAATATTCCAAAACATCCTTACGCATTCGGATAAATCTAGCCAAATTTGCCATTCTTTATCCTCGAGTTGATATTTTTCATCTGCGAAGGTAAGTAAACCAAATATTGTGAACTCTCCACCTTCTCGCCCACGCAGATCTTTTAAAGAAGAAAGCTGGAATTTGACATTATAAATCTTATCACAAATGGATTATACGAATTGATTCTAAAGTAATCTAATTCACCTTATTTTCGAATTTATTAAAACTTGTGAATCGTTTTGAATATCCTGATTTCCGTTTCAATCGTTGATTTATCAGATCATATCTTTCAGAATAAACTGGTGCTTTGGAATTAAAATCTCCAATAACTTTTGGTTCATCATGTCTTATATAAAAAAATGAGGTTGATATTAATATTTCAACAATATAATGAAATTTATGTCATCAAATGAATTTAATTTACTTTATAAATCCCTTTCTTACGCTTGAAAATTTCAAACATGGCATATCAAAAGCATTAATTACATGAAAATACTTGTCTCTATCGACTTCTTCGGGCATCAGTGTTTCGACATCTCTATTATTCTCATTTTGGGAAATTTGCAAAGCTTTAAAAACTTCTTGTAATTTTTCGAGTTCAACAAAGTCAGCTTGTCCTTTAAATTATTTGTTCAAAATAGTTCAATAATTAACAATGAACGATATAAATATTTAATATTACTTTTTTTTTTTTAAGTATTAAATACCATTCTGCTTGATATATGCGTTTGCTATTTCTTCAACTACATTAGGTATCTTGTCCTTTATTGAAATATTTCTTTGAATGATAAGACCAAGCTCTTCTTCCAAGTATTGTGTTGATTCAGGGCGAATTATTAAACCATAAATGGTATTGAACTGATGTAAAATCGTTTGTGTAAGCGACATCTTCGTAAGTTCGATACTAAGACGCGTGAAAGACGCGTTTGAATTAATGGCGGATAAAAGTTTTAATTGATTGGATTTTGATTGGTCAGGTTTAACTGTTAATTTAACTGCTAATAGCTGGTAGGGGTTAACCTGAATTAACCGGTTTAACTGGGTAACCGGATCAAAAAACATACCGATATAAAAATTCTTTATTATTACGTACTACTTAATGATTAGTTATTTTGGGAATTGCCAAGTCTATTTTATTTCTGGATTTATTGATTTCATTTATTATCAATTAAATAATGATATAATCGCTGTTTTCGAAATGGGTGAGAATAATGAATACCCGATTAACTTAGAACTTGATCGAAGATCGACTTCCAGCTATATATCTTTATTTAATGATAAATTAGGCGAGTAATTGTTTAGTATATATAATAATTATATACTATATATTTCATAGTTAGAAATCAATCTTCGATCAATGTGAAAAATGTTCTAAACCAATCGGGTATTCAGGTATTCGGGTACAGTATTCACAAAAAAAATTTTTTTTTTTTTTTTGAGAATATTATTCTCATTCATTTTGAAAACAGCGATAATATTTGCCAGATGATCGAATTTCAGAATTTAAGATCTTTAATTCATATCGGCCTAGTTTTGGGTGCAATAAACTTACATAGGACGTTCTCATTAAGATAAATAAGGTAGTTTATTACGTGAAAGAAAAAATAGTAAAAAATGATCACTTCAAGCAGAGCGATTGAGATCTTTATTTTGATCTATCGTTGCATCACTATAATTATTAGAAAATCACAATAATAGTAATATTTCAATAACATCGTCATTCATGTTATTGATTTTTATCCAAAATGTTATGGCAATAGTTAAAATTACATTATAGGCAGGGACCGTCAAAAATTTGGATATCATTTATACAAATTTGGAAATCATATAAATAATGTCCAAATTTTTGACGGTCCCTGATTATAGGTTAATGATTGAGAACACCCATAAATTTATATAATAAAGCATGTTATTAAAAAGAAATCTTGTATTTTAGCGTTAGATTTAAAATCATCACAATACTAAATATCACATGATTTTAACCAATCAAAATTCTATATGCCTCAGACTACAGGACTAGCGCTTGCCTCAGACTAACGCTTGCCTCAGATCACAGCTGACGCACCTCCGATTCAGATAGTCAGGTGAGGTGCGTAAACTACGTATTGATCTATCATCTAAACTGTAATCTGATGAAAGTAAGAAAGTAAAATAAATTGAATAAAAGACTTTTGACTTGCTTTCTTGAATCTCTTTAGCGTTTTTCTTACTGGTAGCATCTAGCACCTCTATTCTTTTTTTTTAAATTTCTTTCCTGAATTTTCGTAGCACATTTTATTTCCAATTAATATGCACTTTTTTTTCTATACATTCTATACATATGGGTTTGTTTTTTTTTTGCCTAAATTTTCTCTGCATACTCTTCCTGTTTAAGTCTTTTCAGCGCGTTCAACTTCAATAATATATTTTTATTCTATATATATTTTTTTTCTGTGAGTAATGACTGATCGATAGGTTACGCAATCTACAACTGAGGTGCATCATCTGTGATCCGAGGCAAGCGTTAGTTTGAGGCACAACATATATATAAATTTTTTGGAACTAATCAACTGGATCAAAAAACAGATAGTTGAAATAAAAAGCCAACTAGATTAAATATTTACATGTGCAATATTATAGTATATTGATCTTCGATGGAGAGTTGTTTATCTATACAGTATATATATATAGTATTTTTAACTTAATATTACGTTGGCTTCTATTAATAGATAAGCTAAACGAGATATAGATGTTAGAATGTCAGAAAGTTTCAACCTATCTCATAAAACAACTTTTATAGTAAGGGAAAAAAACACTTTCACAATTCTTTATATAAGTTAAGCTTTCATATACAGAATATTATATATCTTTCAAAAATAGGAATGTGTCAAAAATCTATTTAAAGGACAACCTAATTACAAAAAAAACTTTCTATAGAGGTGGCCCAAGCCCTTCTTAGCCCCTGTTATGAAAAATTAATAATTGAGAAGAATATTATGAAATATAGAATGGCAAAAAATTTTGTATAAATTTAATATCTAACTTTACACACCAAGAATTAAATATAGAAATCCATTATTTTGGGTGATACTGTATATAGTAGAAGTAGTAGAAATAGCAGCAGAAGAAGTAGTAGAAGCAGTAGTAGAAGAAGTGGTAGAAGAAGTAGCAAAAGAAGAAGATGCGGACTTAATAAATCAGTTAGGATTCCTAACCCAGACTACCAACCCAAACTCTGTAGTACTGTTGGCCACGAGATCTTCTTCGCTACTTCAAACAAATAAGAAGTTTTCAGTATCATCTCTATGCCGTTCATTAAAATACTGTGGTATTTCTTGTAAGAAGATAACTACAATTAAACATAGTTAATGAGTGCAATCAATTTAAAATTTAAATTATAAATTAGTGTAGCAAGATAGTTTTATAAATATTACAAGACTTTTTAGCTCATCATTCTATTTTATTATTCAGACTAGTAATTGAATTGTTGTCAACATAAACCCAATAATATTGGCTAAACAGCGTAAATGAAGAAGAGAACAAATAAAGAGATTGTAACATCCTATCAGAATAATGCGGCAGTGAATGGATAGGAATTAAATTCTTTGAATACAAAATTGTTGAAGCAAGTATAAATTAACTTTGCTAAAATCGTTCATTTTTATACAAGCGTAGTATTCGCATTTTTTTAGGCTTGTAATAGAGGTATATTAGCCTCTTCTCAAGCTCATTAATTGTGCTAGTAAGAAGCTTGAAAATAAATAACTTAGAAATATAATGGTATAAATTAAGGCTTGTGTAATGATTATATTAGTTTAATAAAAGCATTTGTCATTTAATAATAAAAAATTTTATTATTGTATTTTTTTGCTTGCCGATAATATAATTTGTAGTTTATTACAGTATATAAGGAATATAAATATTATATTACATTACATAGATTTATTACTCTTATTATTTTAACCTATATGTTTTTAAATTAAATATCTATAAGGCTAAAATGTGCAATAGTTACAAAATAACTCTCATAAATACTAATTTGAAATTTTACCTTTAATTGGATTCAACTTCTTATTTCGCAATAAAGCACATGAATGTCTTGAAGTAACATGCATGTGAATAAAACAACAAACATTATGCTATTTCGCAGCTATATGGTAATTTGTTGACTTTGCATTAAATCATAAATAGTAATAAACAGATTAAATTGCATAATAGCTTCTATAAGTAAAATTTGTGGAAAAATCTAGAGTTCTATTTGTAAAAACACAAATTCCAATTAAATATACATTAATTTAAATACATCGACTTATAAATAATTATTAAATAAACTTACATTATTTTAAACAATTAATAATATTCTTTAATCATCTATTAATACGAATAAATAAATTAAATGAGATAGTATTAACAATTAATTTACATGACCAAAGTAAGAGATGATATAAAATATCAAGATTTCATAAGTGTTGTGGTCGACGTTGGTGCCTCTGGTATTCCATAAAGGTTAGTGATAATGATCGGGTTTGTATAAATGGTGTAATTTAGGATTGCACAGAATAATTAAAAGTTAAATTAGTGATTGCATGAACAATGTAGTAATAATTAGCAATTAGTAATAATAGCAATTACGAGAAAGTATGTAATGATCAGTGATGCAAAATAGCGATTAGTAATTAATATAAGGCATTGATCCAATATGGGGAAGTGTCTAGATTGAAAGCCTAAGTTTCGTACTTGTAATAACTTTGTTTTTAGTAAATAAACAATTACCTATATGAGCATATTATATTATCATCGGTGAAAGAACCTGTATAATACACGGTCTTTGAATATACTAGCCAAGCAAGTAGAGACTTGTAGTAAAGACCCACCAATACACAGTAGTAGTAGGAAACTATGTGACACTAAGGAATATTTGATTGTTGAGTTATAAGTAATGTTGAAAAAGTGTTTTCTTAATTTTAAAATTTAGATTGGACGTAAGCTATATATCTTCAGAATTTTTTTAGACATAATCAACCAATATACTATATATTGTGATTGTGGTGGGCATCCTTAAAGTAGAAAATTTTAGAATATAAGATTTCTCTTTAAACATATAGAGCATATATACGAAATAGAAAAAGGAAAGTATGTCACTTATTAACCACAACTTGTATATATATACACGATTATTTGACTTGTACAACCTATAATAGAAAGCAATACTTTCACTGTTTTTGTCTCTTTCAAATAAAAGAATCTTA